TTTCCACACAAAAAAATCGAGCGCGCAGATTGCGCAAGAGCTTCCAAGAGCTTGGAAGAGCTGCTTCGAAGAGACGGCGGAAGACTGCCGTCGACGGCGGTCGACGCCAGTCCGGAAGGGTCTTCACGGTTGGATTGAAAAGGTCGGCAAGGTACTTGCAAGCACCTTTGCCTGCAGCGGAGAGCCGGCAAAAGCGGATGAATGACGGTCGGTGCGAAAAGAAAGGTCGGTGAGGATTGTAGGATTACCCCAACGGGACATAACGGCCTGGTGGAGATCCACACACCAGAGAAGGGTAAAAATGGAAAAGACAGAAAGAAAAATAAGAAAGCACCTTTGACGCTGAGATCTGGAAGACTGCTGATCTGCAACAGCGACCTGAAGCATTTTTTGTGGCATACGCAGAATCTGTGTGGCAAGAGGCTCTGCAGAAAACCCTCTCTCCAATGCAACTTGATTTGGCCCCTGGCGAAATGTTGGGATCTTCTTCCTTATCTTCACCCTGGTCAGATCGAAGTTGCTCCAGTCTTGGCATGTCTTGGCTCACGGGGACTCGCTTGGAATCCTTCTCGTCCCCCGTTTTCGCCTGTCGCATGTCTGCCGCCCTGCCCTCCATTTTCTCCCGGGTCCTGAGCCACCACCACTCGCCGGGCATCCCCCTTGCTCCTGAGCGTCCGTCCCGTGCTCGCTCGGTGTTTGGACGGCATCGGAGCCGGGGACCCCCGCTCGCCGTTGGACCGGGAGTCTGAGCGTGAGAGCGACACAGAACGCCGTGCCCTGCAGCGGGAGACCGATGAGAGACTGGTCTTTTGTTTGTTTGGTTCGTGTGGTTAAACAAGAAATGGCTGGTCTTTAGCCGGAAAAGGTGGTGGGTTCTTCGGATGCAGCATCGGTAGTACAAGAACTACCCATTTGAGCTCATCTCAGCTGAGAGAAAGGAAGAACAAAAACAGAAAGACGAGGCCTGCGGCCTCTGTCTCCTTGTGGATCAGCACCTGCCCACCGTTTTTTTGCTTGCGCAAACGCGCTTGCACAGAAGAGAGCTCAACTTGACGGCACCTGCCTACAATATCAACTCCCTCCGGAGCCGCTCCATCTTCACCATCCTGGTGGATCTTCACCACTTGGTGCCGTCGGTCACATGTGACCGTCAGGGGTGGGATCTGTCAGACGTCCCTGCCATGCCCCCGCCTGCGCTTGTGACCTTGGAGAATAGCTGTCCTCGCGGAAAACGTTCGAAACAGGTGAACGATCTTCACTCTACAGAAATGTAGACTCTTGAGCCCCCCATATATAATGTGATTCATCATCTTCCTAACACAGAGTCACATGCGGCCAATGCTGAAGCATCCAACACGATGATTTGGACCAGTTTCCCTCGCTTGGTGCCAAAGGGCGCAACAAACTCGTGTCACAAGGCAATCGGTACATCTCTCCAGAGCAGTCACACACCGAACACCTACAGTTTTCTTGACGGAGTCCGCTTCCGCTCATCATCTGATTCTCTCCTCTCCTATTCCAGACATATCATCCACCACTCGAATTTCATCCATAATATTCCATAATATGTTGAACGCGTCCCCATTGCTTACCCATGTCATCCTATAGTTCAAGCCTCCAAGAACATCCAACAACCCAACATGGGTGTCTTAAAATGGGGAGAGCTCGCAGGCTTTCCGACCCCCTGGCAGGGTAAATAGACTCGACCGGTCTCCCCCATACAAATTGCTACGTGCCATGATGTGCCATGTCCATCGATACACTCTGCGCCAAAGCCAGTGCTTTCACACCTAAGGCTAGCTCGGTCTATCATCCAACCCAAAAAGAATATCCAAGCTTGCCAACGAGCGAGGGTTCATATGGGGATGGGTCAAACCTGGAGCCCGACCAGTCCACCATTTAGGCGAACGAGCTCCGTATGCTCAACCAAGGTCTGGTTCTGCGCAGCCACGGCTCCAACCCAACACGCTCCGTACCGGTCCGCTGATCTGCTTCGATACGACCGACTTCTGGATCGCTCGTTCTCGGAGCCCGAGCCCCGCTGGGTCCTGCGGGTCAACAGTCCCGACGTCGCGCGCGGGTACGGTGTGGTTGATTCAAAGACAGAAGACAGAGAGAGAGAGAGAGAGATGTCAAAACATTAATACATGAGAATCACTGCGTTTTCATAGCATCGATTCAGAAGAAAAATCACTGCAGACACAAAATCGACACGAAAAGAACATGTTTGCTGCCTTGGTCTCCAATTCGGGCTAGCCTTGGGTGTGTTCCCGCACTGGCGTCGGCGCACAGTGCTGAGACAGCTCGGTGGGGACATGGCACATCATGGCACATGGTACTTTTGGTGTGTATTCTAATAGGAAGACCCAACATCACCATGGCCCAATGGCGTAGACTTACTGTAATGATCTCTTTCCCGTTTCCCGGAACCCAGGGGGTTGGAACGCCAGTGAGGTCGGTCTCCCTATTGGCATACACACCCATTTTCTTGGTGGATAGAGCTCCTCACAGCTTCACGGCCGTGCCCCTCCTTCAGGCGAATGCCCTGAGAGGACGAGGCGACCGAGGAACTCACTCGGTGCGACGAGTTGAGACAACACCCTAAGAACGGAGAAGATATGACAAAATCAACATAGCAACATGAAGACAAATCCCCACATCAGCTTCACATCAGCTTCACATCAGCTTCACATAGCTGAACCCTTCTCGTTTCTTTGTTTACCCCACAACCTGCGGCTCCACGTTCTCCGTGCATGCCGCACGTGACGAACAAAAACGCACGTCCGCGGCTGTCTGTCTCCGCGCGGTTCGGCTATCGGTTGGGCGAGGACCAAAGAGCATCGTGGTCACGACGTGGCGTGGGAGGATGCGCCGGTGTCCTTTTTTTTGTGGCGTCGTGGGAGGTTTGTTCTTTTTCGTGGGCGCCAGCAGAGTGGATTCCTGAAGACTTAGGACCTTTCGTGGCAGGTGCATGCAGGTGCAGGAGATCGGGCATGCTTCGGCACATTTCGTGGCAGCTGCAGCGTGTCAGTGGCAATGAGTTATGAGAAATCCGTCAACCCTGAAACTTTGATGTGCCGCTGTCAGATTTTGTAGCAGGCGCGGCACTTGGTGGGCCTCCACCTCCACCACCATCACCACCCCCACCACCACCCCTCAACACTGTTTGGGGTACAAATCTGGGAGCTCCTTGTTTTCTTTCAAAGTTCTTTGAATCTCCTTTCGTTCACGTGCTATCTGACGCCATGCGGCCTGGCCTGATTCTGCAATCGCTCTCGTGCTTTTCCGAGCTTAAACATGGCAACCTCAGAAGAAGTGTTTGTCCAAATTCAGAACAGATGCATTTATATGATTAAAAAAGAATATGGGTTTACCTTTTGGACTTGGGCAGCAGCGGCACTGGGGTTCAATGTCCTACAACAGAAATCTGATGCAATCTTGTGCCAGCTATAATTGTGTCCAATGGTTCAAACAAGAAATGGCCTGCCGTCATTGGTGGGCTTGATCTGCAAATCTGGGCAGGTTTCCAGCACAGCTGCCTGGAACGTTGAGCTGCTCTTCCAAGAAGAGTTTGGCCGAGGAGTGGAAATCTGCAAGACTCAAGAGAAACGGAAGGTTTGATGAATGAGTTGCAAGCTGAGTTTATATAACAATATATAACAATGATATAATGCGGATGCAAAGAAGGAATCCTGCAATTCAAACAAGCACACTCTTGAGCACTGGAGATCAGTCTTGCCTGAACAGGTTGAGGAGAATCTCGAAAGGCCTGGGAAACTTGAAAGAGCAAGCAAGAACCCCCAGAACAGAATGTTTAGGTAAAGGCAGTAAAGGAAAAGGATACATACGAAACAATGTGATTCTGTTTCTCAATGATGTTTCGCAAAACTTCCTTGGTATTTCGTTGCTCCGCACTCCCCACTCGGCTGCCCAAGCACCTAACATGCAACTCCCCAACACCCCACCGGCTGGACTGCCCGGAAACGCCTGTATGCAACTGTCGTCCAGATTGTTGATCTGGAAGAACCTCACCGTTCGTCGCTTTGATATATTTCCTTCGACAACACACAGACCCTGACCTTGTCGGTCCAAGGTCATTCGATCCACCTTCTGTCTTCTCCAAAAAACAACCAGCTCTTCCATTCGGATTCATGTCCACTCAATGGCTGGTGGGGATCCATCCATCTGCCTTCGGGTTTTTTCACGTGTGTCCCACGGCCACACGCTGAGGGCCAGTGCCGTTCCAACATCTTTTGATGCTCTTCTGGACTGATGCGTTTCCCTGCAACACACAGACGTGAAACTTGGCATCGAAATCTTCCAACATATCCTTGCACTATCCAACCTCCACTTATCGACGCGATGAAGAATCGAAGCGAGTTTCTGTCTGACCACAATCAAAATAGAGGTCAACATCACACATCTGTTAATATCTGCTATTCTGTGGTTTCTGCGTCAATAGCCTCTCCAACACTTCCATCCTAGCAACCCAGTCAGGCTGCAACCCTTGCACATCCCTCCGATGCCAGGCTTTCTACATGCATCCACAGCCGGACGTATGGCCTGCTCTTCCTCGTCGTACTCCTTGAGATCCTTTGCCTCCTCCACGAACATGCGTTGATCCTTGCAAGTTCACAGCTGGCTGCGGGCTCGAAAACGTCACAATCTTGTCACATCTGCAGATTGATGTTGATGGAGTACTTTTGTCTGCACGAGGGCGCTCGTCTGTACAGGAGGCCTTTCATCCAGTTGGCCATACTTTGCACGCCAACATCAAAGAATCATTTACTCCTACTGTGACTGAAGGGAATCTAAACTGATGTTGAAATAATAAGCTGCTTCCAAGCGGTTGCCACCCTTCAGAAACTTCACGACTCAAAGAAGTTCCTGCTCAAAGAAGCTCAGCTTGAACTTGGTGAGTTTTGCAGTGTCATCACATCATTTGATACATGAATACAGGTTCTACTCCTGTGCATTCGCCAGTGTGCATTCGCGGTGTCTCATGTCTCATCCTTGAGCGCACGCTGCATCAGCCAGGCTGCATTCCGGGTGTGGGACCTTCAGAAAGCGGCTATGGACCAAAAAACATACACAACGGACGCTACTAGGAGCAAAGGGCATCGCTTACTAGGAGCAAGGACGCTACTAGGGGCTCCTGGCCTTGCTACTAGG